GGAAGCACCAGAAGGGAAGCTGCTGAGAGGCTCAGAGACCGAGCAGCGAGCTAAGGCTTAGGGGAAAGTATTGTGCAGAAGTGCGAAAGGGTCTTCCACTACACTCGGCATGAAGTCGTTCCTGTCTACACTGTCTGGCACGGTAATCTACAGAGTGCTGTGTGTTCGCAAGGAAGACGACGTAGAGTGTCCAACGGATAAGAACTGGATCACAGTGAAAGAAGTAGTTGTCGTCGTAATCTTGGTTGTAGCCGCAAACATGACAGTGACCCATGCCGTAGTATTAGCAATAGGAGCATCGTTCCGACTCGGCACCGTCCCGGTGCACTAAGGGTCGGCCTCGGCGCCCTCCCGGCGCACTGTGAGGTCTTTCTGCCGTAGTATTAGTAATAGCAGTAGTAGCGGAGCATCGTTCCGACCCGGCACCGTCCCGGTGCACTAAGGGTCGGCCTCGGCGCCCTCCCGGCGCGCAGCAGCAGCAGGAGTAGCAGTAGCAGTGGCAGTACCAGCAGCAGTACCAGTAGCAGTACCAATACCAGTAGCAGCACCAAGCAGCATCACTGGCTCACTCACTCTCGGCGACTCCTTCGAAGACTCCAAATCCTGGTCGAGCCCTATAGTACCCTTGTAACAAGTGTCGTACCTGCACTAGACTAGGAACCCTTAACCCTCCCTCCCCCACTCACTCACCCGAAATGTCGAGGCCCTCCACCCCAAGCATGGAATGGACCCAGGTTTCCGGGCGCTTCTGCGACGCACGGCGGAGCCTGCGGGGAACAAGGAGCCGTGGTCAGCGTAAGCAACATGAGCAGTCGATCACACGAACCTGTGCTGGTTGTTTTCTCCTGGCGAACCTGTGCTGGTTGTTCTCTCCTGGACTCGTCGAGAACGGCTATTGCCGACATGGCTACGTCGAAATCGAACTAGGAGCCGTGGTCAGCATAGGCAACATGACAATTTATCAAGAAGCATTGTTAGTTGTTTGCTCCTCGAGCGAACGGCTAGATTGCTGACATGGCTGCCTCGACTTCGGGTGGCGCCTCGACGAATGAAAATCTGCTTTTGTGGCGGGTTCTTAGCTTCGCTGAACCTGAAATCTCATCCCAAAATCTCATCATGTCACATGGAGAAACGGGAGCGCCGTGCCGACATGGCAAGAAAGGCTCCCGAGGCGAGCCTTGCTGGCTTCACTCACCCTGCTTTCCCTGCGCCCTCGCAAGCATGCTTTGCAAGGCCTGGGACAACTCTGGATTTGGTGCGCCTCCCTGCTTAGTTCGGGGCTTCTTCTGCGGTGGCTCTTCGCCACTCTTTGGCTCGGTCTTTGGCTTTGGGACTGGCTTGGGCTTCGCTGGGGTTGCCTTTGGTGGGATCGGAGCTGGCTTCGGGACGGCTGGGGCCGCCTTGGTCGATGCGGCTGTCAGCTCGGGGGCATACAGCTTGGAACTGGGATCCGAGAGGGCCTTGAGGCCGTCTGCTGCCAGAGCCTTCTCAATGTATTCTTTCTGGCACTCCGTCTGGCAGATGCCGATGTAGGACATCCGCTGACGGAGAGCCTGCATTGCCTGTCGGCCTGTGGCAGGTGTCAGATCCACAATAGTGCTCGCAGAGCAGGCATACGCGACGGAGTCCCAGAATGAGACTGGCCATTCGTGATACGCGATCGGTTGTCGCGTATCACCCCGGAGCGATGCGCAGCCACGTCCCTGGGACACGGGGGGGAGGACCATCTCAACGTCCTCAGTCGCCGGAGCCTCCTGCGCGGCCTCGGCGTCATTCGCCGGAGCCTCCTCCGCGGCCTCGGGGTCCAACTCCTGGGAGCCGTCCTCGGATTCACTTTCTCCCGTCACCGTCTTTCCGCCGACGGCAACTCTGCGCTTCCCCCACCATGCCTTTTTCTCCTCCACCGTCAAGGACGGAAGCTTGTTCCAGGCCTCCAGCGCAAAGGGCCCGAGCACATCCGAGGCACTCGTAGAGTCCGCAAAGTGCTTGTGTGTCTTCACGGGCATGTGGGTGCTCGGATTGTACCACAGCAGGAGCTGCTGCGAGCATCGCACCTTTGCCACACGGTTCTGCGCCACACGCACCTTCCGCTGCTTGACGGAGGCCTCCGTCAGGGTCACCATGATTGATCTGCACTTGGTGTCCACCTTTTTGGCAGCCTTCTTGCCGACGCCCGGGCCTGGGGGCTTAAGGGTCACAGTCAGTGACAGTGCCGTCCTATTACAAGACGACGTCTGAATAGAAAAGAACAAGTTTGGATCACAGGACTAACTCGTCACACAGCAGGCCTGTCCCCAGCAGCTTGGAGAAGCAAGAGTTGTCGATGCGCTCCCCATTGAGGACTGCGTAGACCTCTCCCTCGCTAACCTCGCCCGTGTTGGTGCCGTGCCTGGCAATCTCCACACTTTGGAAGAGTTTCTGCAGCATCGCCTTGGGAAGGGGTGCCCTTCGGACATGTGGTGCAGTCAATGCTTCGCCGTAGGTGTTCACATCGAAAGCGATCAACACGTTGCCGCCGCGCCCATCCGATCCTCCCTCGACTTTGACCGCTGCATGCTTTGCGAGGCTGGCAGCTAGCTCCGTCACCGTCTTGCCCTCCTCGACTTCCAAGACGATGTACGACTTCATCAGTCGCTGCACATGCTGCTGCTGTCGCACGCTCTCATCGCTCTCCGCGGACTGCATCATCTCCTCGCTCTCCTGGACAACGTCACCTGGGATCCAGTCAGGAATGAAAAAAAATAGATGAAGCTGAACTGAAATCGTTTTTGTCGGGGCACCCATGGCTGAACTCGCCGCCCCCTGCCCACCGGAGCCGGGATCCGCATCATCGTCGGCCACGACCACAGCGGCCGAGAGCTTCTCGCGCGCTGCCTTCATCTCGCTCTCGAGATGCTCATCGACGGCCTGCAAGGTCTCCTTGAAAGGAGAATACTCCTGGATGATCTCATGCGCCGCTTTGGCGTTCTTCAGCCCAAGCCGCACCATGTGATCGTCACCGCCTTGCAAGTTGAAGCTGGCCTGCTCCACCAGCTCGATGAAGGACAGGGCCGAGCTTGGCCACGCGGCTTGCCAGGAGAGATCCACATTCGCTGATTCGCTGATGGGGCGGAGCTGCTCCACGTAGGAAGTCGGAGACTTGAAGATTTCCCTCACTTTCAGCTTGATCTCGGCCGGCAGGTTCTTGCCGTCCAGGCAGGTGGTCAAAAGCCAATTTTTCATCTCCAATTGCTTCAGAAAGAGGTCCACCCACTGCTTCGAGCCTCGCTGATTGAAGTTTCTTACTGTGAAGTCCGACGACGCCATGTGGCCCGCTAAGACCCGCAGCTCCGTGAGGCTCATGACCCACAGCATCCTGCTGACACTGTGCTTGCAGGCCTTGCTGAGCTCCTGCAACTTGTATATTCCTTGGAAAGGAGACTCCTGCAGCCAGCGGCGCTCGCAACGCAGGATCAGATCTCGAAGGGAAGCATGTTTCAGGATGTTGTTCGCCACGTTGAGCGCAGCCTCAATCGTGCTGGGGGACGTTCGGCTCTGTTTCTTGTCCTCCGCTTCCGTGTTGAGCTTGCTCGCGTACAATGCTGCGATGTCGGCGTTGCTGAGCGGCTTGCCGGGAGCCTCCATCATCCGCTTGAACTCCATGATGTCAAAGATCAGCTGGAGCGTCTTGTGCGTGACGGCCTTGGCTCGTGCGGCTGGCTTCAGCCTCGAATTCGTCAAATGAAAGTAGATGC